TTAGAAGGAGATCTAATGATATTAAATATTATTAAATTATTATGATTTTTAGTTGCTATATTTTAAAAAATTATTTCATAGATAATATTTCTAAAAGATAATAAACAACTATCTATAATTTCTATATGTATTGGTTTAATTTTTTTCAACTACAAATCTTTCTTATTTTTTAATAAAGTATGAAGCTTCTCAAGTAGATATTATGAAATTAATCTATTTATATCTATTTATATCTAATTATATAGGTAATTATTGGAATAAATATGTATGTCTATGATACTACCAATATATGTGATATGTGGCTAATTTGTTAGTCAAGTTTTTAACTTACCAATCAATTACAAATATGTATGAAGTTAAATACACTTCTATAAAGCTTCTAAGAAGCTTTGCCATAAGATAATATTAAATATACTTATATTTGCCTTCAATTCAACACTTCTTATTTAAGTAAATATATATATGTATAATAAAAACTTGATGTTGCTAAGTAATTAAAAGAATTCTTTTGAAATTTATTATGCTGACTAGTCTTACCTTCATAACAATTATCATTCAAAAAAATTATTAATTAAAAATAAATACAACAATTGTTAAAAAGATAAATATTTTAAAATTTATTTAATATTAATGATTGCCAAAGATGTTTCTATCTAAATGCAATTATCATAATAGCTTACAAAATGAGAAAAGTATGTATATTTGTTTATTTTTTATTTTATTTATTTTCTTATCTCTTATTTTTATTTCTATTTAGACTAATACAAATGTTTAAATTATCAATTTATATATTATATAATTTTTATTTGTTTATTTTCTAAATATTCTTCTTATAAAAAATCAAATTATATGTTTGTGATGTAATATGTATTTAAAAAAAATATTGTGATAGAAATTAGAATATTCTAATATATTATATAACATTGTTAATTGAATTCACTACCACCTTTAACAACCCAAAACTTTCTTCTTTTATGTTCAATTGAATTGTTTTTTATAATTATCATAAATTTTTGTTTCCAAGGCTTAGCAAATACTACTTTATGTTTTCTAGCAAATATTACTTTATGCTAATGTAAAATCATTATGAACTTGATATAGCACATAAGTTACATGTGAATAACATGTATATGATTCTCCACCTAATGGTTCCTGTAGAAAAATGTAGAGATATAGTGGTGTTTTGAAGAAATATTTTCAATGATAGTGTTTAAAATAGAAGCAGCATTATTTTTATTTTTTTAGAAAATAAGTTTAAAGTAAAAAAAAAATTACATGTAATATTTACAATGATTATAATAATAATATCTAAACTTTTTCGTTAGAACATAATTTCATTCTTGCAATGTATTTTTATCTTAAAAAGACATATATATAATAGAACACAGAGAACCATCTTTTACATTTGTACTTCAGAAATCAATAAAAATTTACTAAACTTACTGAACTTAAATTTGTATACAATATATGTGTGAAAGTATCATCAAATGTTCTTCAAGAAAATATCACATTATTTGGTAGCATATTTTATAGATATTTATACTTTTATTTTTTAAAACAACATTTTTATATATATATATATATATATATATATATTCCATTTAAATTGAACAAAGGGCTAATCTTCTCAATAACAAAGATGTTTCTAACCAATTGTTTCAAGATCCAGAAAACTTTTTCCAACCTATTCGTAATTCATAAAATTTCACTCATTTAATTATTTGTGAAAGAATCATTTGCTTCAGTTAATATAAATAAATAAATAAATGAATATATCATTCAATCAATCAATCAATCAATCAAAAGAAAATTAACCACTTGGCATTTTCGAAACAGTAAGGAATCGGAAATCCACGTGGCATTTTCGACTGCCACGTCGGAGAATGTAAGGCACGGTGTGAACGGGGCGGGTTCGGAGCCTCTATGAGAAAAGGTCGTCTGCCTCCCACTCACTTTGAAGTACCGGGTCGTGGCGGGAAAAGGAACTCTCACATCCGAGGTGGTCGAGCCTACGTGGCGAATTCCCCTCCAAGTGAACAATTTGGCTTGCGGGGAAGGGAAGAGAGAAGAGAGTACGCTCCCCAGATGGGACCCGTCACCGAAAGGTCTTGCCTATGACGGGGACACATGAGCGGGCATGGGACCTGGACCCTATGACCGACCCCTATTTGCTCTGACATCAGCTCACCCTGCCCCCCACTAGTCCACGTCCCTTGGCGCGGCTTTATACTTTTGAATCCCCCATTCGCCTTTATTTTTCTGATTAGTTTTTCGTCATTTCATGTTTTAAAAAAATAATAATGAAGTGCTTCCTTTGTGATATGCTCCACACTCCACTACATCAAAAAAAAAAAAAAAAAAAAAAAAACGTTTTTCTCAATTCAACTAATTTATAAATTAAAACTACTTCTTAATGCTTATGTTTTTTATTTCAATTAATTTCTCTTACAATTTTTATATTACTCTTGTAGAATTTAGTCTAATTCTCTAACTACTTTGATTTGATTGTCTATTGCACTGCTATTCTATAAGAACAATATATAGGCATAACAATACAAAAAGAGTGATTGTATTCTGTACTCTGGTATATATATATATATATATATAGTTTGCACCATATGCCCAAATCAATTTACAACTCCCATCAAAATCATTTTATGCTACAAACTTTAAAACTTTCATTTTATTTTATTTTACATATATAGATATATAAATAATATGTGCATGAACCATGCAGCATGTAATTATATATGTATATCATGATATACAAAGAGCAACAATTCAATTTATCCCACAAGTTGTGATATTTTTGTGCTTTATGTTCCATGTACTAACATGCACAATTGTTGTGTCTTAAGTAAGTACTTGTATCTTTTACAAATCTATAAACAATTCAATGATCGAGTAAATATTTCAAGTACACAATTCATTAATTTTGTTACTAATATTTTTTGTATAATGGCTTGTCTTAACCACCAATATCCTTTACTCCCTAAACTCATAACCTCAAATTGGATTTGTATTTCTACTCTGAACTTGTAGTGCAGTGTCAAAAGAATTAATCATGTTGGCATTTTGGGCTTCCAAGGCTCAATTTTCAGCTTTCAACCTAAATGTCCCCTTGAATAAAGACTATTTTTATTCCTTGTATCTTGTTTTTAACACAATCCACCAATTTGCAAAACTTTGCCATACCTTTCATTATCAAAATCACATTATTTTTATTTTAAACCCTCTAGATTAGATTCATCTTCCCAGCTTTTAAACTTTTTCTAATTATACACGTTTTATTTTAATTAAGCAAGTTTGCATTATCAAAATGAAAAAAGAATGAATTTAGGAAACCACCAAGACTTTCTGATGAATGATAGCTAAACAATCAAGATGAAGCATTTTTCATGTTTTTTCTAAATTGGAATCAGGTTATACTGTTATTTCCTTTCTCTTATTTATTTATTTGACTTTATTAAAAATTCTTTTGAAATAATCTTACTTTTTGGTGGAGATTATTAATTGTGTAATCTAGCAAAGACAGTTTGTATACTTGTGAGCATAAGACCAGTATTAAACTTTCTTTGGTTGCATGCCAATCTCAAATACTTACCGTTGTTGTTAGTACTATTAAATTTGTTATTCAAATAGAACATTCTGTTATAAAACTTATTATAATATCATTTGATACCATTTCATTGACAACTGTAAACTGTTTATAATTTGAATGGTTACCCTACACAACAATAATAATAAAATGGCTTAAAACGAACTAAAAATACGTTACTCATTATCAATAATATTAGATTGGGATGCACATATATTTGTATGTATATATATATATATATATATACATACCAAAGTTATCATTTTTTAATAATAAACGACCTTTACAAATCCAAGGGAGCTCTGTGCTTAGGAGAGAAGGTGAGAGGTTGTAACTTTCAAAACTTGTAATTTGTTAACTCTTAATTTATTTTTACATGGCATGAATAGTGATATATATATATATATATATATATATATATATTCCCCCTTCTGCAGTAGCATTTTAAAAAATTCAAGTAGTCAGGTTGAAAATCACTAGAACTTTTCATTATAAAACTTCATAATTGATTTTTATGCATTTGTATGAATTGTTATTATGAAGATACAACATGTCTTGTTTAGAAAACACTAATAATAGTAATAAACACAAAATTGGAGATGCCTTTCGAAGGAGCGTCTGGATGTAAAAATCCTTTTAGCAATGGCTTAATTGAGACGAAACTTTTAAGCACCGAATGAATGAGCAAAGCTGTTAATATTTTTTAAAAAAAATCACGAAAACACATTCACGTATTTTAATAAGTATTTTAATAAGTAATTCATCCACTATTTTATCCAAAGTCAGACATTCATCCAATCGTCGTCGTCCCATTCGCTGCCAACTACCACATTGTCAAGAATGAAGGGAACATCACCCAGCCCGTTGGTTCGAAGGCAACTATCGTGTGTTCCCAATCATGGGAACACGATCGAACAGCTATTATCAGAGACTGGGAATGTCACACGGTTCCCATACCGGTAGTACCCGCAACGCTGAGTACATGACCAGGCCCCATGGGTACGTGTCCCCCTTGGGAACGCAGAGACATCATTCATCCACATGCATCCAATCAGTCCTCATCCATATCTCCCTCACCCGTCCCCCACCCACCCACTCATCCCAGTTCCTGCCAAGGCGGCGACGATATTTATGCCACTGGGCTACGTGGCCCGCTGACTCACCAAAGACCGCTCACGAGCGTTGCATCGCCTACCGCCTCGGTGGTTACGCGCGTCTGGTGGCGTCTGATAACGGCGAGCGCGAGCGTGACGAGTCGAAGGAGCGGGGGTTTGGGAGCAGCCGCGAGCTTACGAGGCGCGGGCGCGGGGCGAGGGGGGAGGCGGGGCGAGGAGGCGTCGTCGTCGTCGTCGCCGCGCGTTGCCTGACACCGTCCGCGCGGCGAAGGGGTGCCACCGAGCTCCACTCGCTGCTGCATGAATCTCTCAAATCCCTCGCGCATCTGCGAGTCGCTCTGCATTGCACTGTGCCCGCAGCGCACCCCCCGCGACTCTCCTCGCGGATCTTCCCCATTGTGGCTCCTTATGGTGGCCCTGCATTAATCGTGCACAGGAAGGATAGCGAGGGACAGGCTCTTCTGGGATGTGGTGAAATCGCTGGGTAGATACCAAGACCCGTGGTGGTGGTAGTGATCTTGAGGGCAAGCGCGCTAGAGCGCCCTGCGTTGGGGTGTTCAGAAAGCGAGGAGGAGGGAAATCGATCCAGCATGGCTTCTGCTCTGGAGAAAATATGGCTGGTGAGTCTGTTGTTGGGTTGCGTGCCGCTGTTTTCTTACCTTTTTCCTGAGGTTTGTGAGCGGTGCGAAGACGCCAGTGGATGTCATCGTGGTGCCTGGTGGATGTTGTTCTGTTGCCTGCAGGTCCATTTTGAACGTCGGCCTGATTTGGATATGTGTGTGAATGTCAGCGTGTGAGGGTGTGGTTCAATGGGTGATTGAGTCGATGTGTTAGCCTACGTGCGTGGATTGATGGAGTGGGTTGTCAGGCGTTTTATGAAGTGGGAGCATTTTGCGGTGTGTAGCATTTGGTATTTTTCAGCAGTCGGTGCCCCGATTGCGGCAATGTGTGGGTGTATCGGTCGTGTAGAAGCTTGTTGGAGGAGGCGCAGTTGTCGTGAGAGGTTTTTCATTTCCCCGTAGAAATCGTGTTGGTGGGAAAGAACTGAAGCGTCCTTACATTATCAGACAATCGCCGATGTTCAGTGTTCCACGTATCTCTTCTCCATATCTTGGCTCTGAGATAACGTTGTGTCCTACGCAGTATCAGATCTTTAGTGTGAACGGTTACATTTAGAAACTTTCGACAAGTATCAGTTCGTGGTAGGGTAGATGTCGACATGCTCCACGCTTTCCCATTCAATTAACCGGTCCTGGAATTCAACGGTGGGAGAAGTTATGGAGTTGCTCCTCTGATCGTGAACCAGCTAATTCATCGCTTGCCGTGTACAGTCAGTTCCGTGCCACTGACGACAAATTTATCGGCCTTTTTACACAGGCTTTTTGAAAATTTCAACCCTAATTCGAAGTAGTGCCTTCCATGATGTGTTCTGCGACTTTGTTATGCACTTTTGTTGTCAGAGAATCTCCTTGATGAAGCGGATTTGGTTAGCGACAAACTCGGGCTCTGGTGCGGTGCTCTTTGTTTAAGGAAAGTGCACAATGAAATCAGTAAATAGTGGACGATGTATTAATTCTCTTTTCAGAAGCACGCTGGGTTCCATTAGAATATTAAACTACCTGTACGTAGTCACACCTGGGAACGTGGAGCAGAGATGTGTACGCTAATTGTGCATATTTGACAGAAAGGTTTTCCTCAGACTGCAATTCTGGTACAGAATTGGGATTTTGTTGATGATGATGCCATCAGATCTTATCGTCTCCGTGGTTAGACGCTTATGTGCCCGTTTCAGTTGACCAACTCTATGATCGAGCGAGGTGCTTCTTTTGCACGGGTTGTTATTACATATTCTACTACAGGCATTGTGATCGACTGCCGACATGTGCCGCTAGACACACATGGTTCTTTTGCTTGTCCAGGCGCAATGGTGCTGGCTTCTAGTTGGTTAGATTGATTTGCAACGCTGAAGTTGAGAGAAGGTATCATATTACATGGAAAGCTTTGCTTCCACGTCTGTTCGAGGAAGATCAGGATGACATCATAATGTTTTGTTGGTGCAGTACCTAATAAATAACTTCACCGACTTCCAGCTGGCATCAATTGGCAGCTTCATTATACACGAGAGTGTATTCTTTCTTTCTGGTCTTCCATTCATTGTTATGGAGAGGTTGGGATATCAACGGCAGTACAAGATACAGGTACAGCGAGCATGGCTAATGTGTTGTATTCTTAGCTTTCATACTAGTCTTCATTCTAAACTTGTATTATTTTACTTTGTTTTTTTATTCACCTCGTTTTGGATCTCACGCAAGCGGCTTTGTGTTCGCGCCTAACTGGAAGTCCTTCTCATTCAATGGAACAAAATAACGAAATGCATCTGAATGTTCTTCTGTATTTATTGAACAACAGGGAAAGGTGAACTCTGTTGCAGCGCAAGAAAAGTGTGTTATGAAGCTACTGCTTTACCACATCTGTGTCAACTTGCCCCTCATGATTGTATCATATCCCGTCTTCAAGTACATGGGCTTCACCAGTCAGTTACCTCTACCTTCCTGGTAAGACTGTCCATTTTGTAAGTTAGCAGCATGTGTTCTCTTAATTTGTGCGTGCTCACGCTTTCGTGGGTGTTTGCTGCTGAAAGATTCTCTGCCTCTCTCATTACTTTACCAGTCAACAATATCCAGGTGCTTCAGTGTTAGTGTACACCTTATGAATGAGGACGTTCTATGCAGGAATATTGTGTGCTTCCAGATCTTGTCCTACTTCATATTGGAAGATTTCATCTTCTACTGGGGTCACCGTCTTCTGCACACTAAGTGGCTCTACAAGAATGTTCACAGCGTCCATCACGAGTGTGTGCTCTCCTCCCTGAACCTGGATGCAAATCTTGTTATATGTCTTTCAGAATTAGTGCTTGTTGGATGTTCTACAGGTGGTCTATTTTATACATGCTATGTGATATCACATACGTTGTGTGAAGTGTGTGTGTTCAAGAGCATTGGAATGTAATTATTATACATGTTCATTGAAATGTTTCCAATCTCGACTGGAAAATGCTGTCGTTATTTACAACTCATCCTGTTTCGTATTCGGGGATATTCATCACATCCATCATTTAATAACAACAACACTATTAGTGAATTCTCACCTGTCGTCGTGCAGGTATGCAACTCCTTTCGGATTGACATCTGAGTACGCCCATCCTGCGGAGATTCTCTTCCTTGGATTTGCTACAATCTTTGGACCCGCAATTACTGGTCCTCATCTCCTTACTCTATGGATTTGGATGAGCCTGCGTGTAATTGAAACCGTGGAAGCCCATTGTGGTTATGATTTTCCATGGAGTCTCTCCAGATACTTGCCGATCTACGGGGGGTACGTTATTTCTAGTTTCTTGAAATTTGTCTTTGAGGCCCTAATTTTATCATCTTATCATCGTGGTCTTTCCTGTACAACTAGCTAACTTATGGATGTTGCCAAACAGTGCGGACTTCCATGATTATCACCACCGTCTTCTGTACACTAAGTCTGGAAATTACTCATCCACATTTACCTACATGGACTGGTAAGTTCTCTAGCCCGAACCTCCAGGTTCAGCACAATTAATGTTCCTGAAATTTCTATTCATCAATTCTCATCCATCTTAACTCGATCTAAGTAATGCTTTCTACCCATCACTCTCCTTGAGTGGGCATTTAAGTAAGTATTATTTGAACAGAAGTCTCCAAATAGCTGAAGCTGTGGCATCGGTTGATGCCGTGTATCATAGTCTGGCGTGATCATAATGTACATGCAGGGAGAACAGATTCGTCATGGTCGCTGGGTCACAACTAAACGGTGACGTGCAAATTGGAACAGAGATCTTTTGTGAACACCTGTGATTCTCGGATTTTCTCACCTGTTGGTTTTGTTCGCAACAGGATATTCGGCACAGACAAGGGATACAGGAAGCTGAAGGCATTGAAGGCTGCCGATCACGAATACGAATATGTGGAGGAGAAGGTTCCCAAGACGGACTGAAAAGAAGCGTGGATTTAATTAGTGAAGCGTCCCTGTAACTCTTTGAATTAGCAGTGGAGAGTGGTGAGACCCAGTTGGATTTCCAGAGCCTTGATTTCTGCTGCCTGTGTCTGGCCGTCTGTTGCGGTCACGGGTCGTCTGTATATGGGAGTGTAGAATCAGCAGCAATTCGTGGAGGAAAAGTTGGACCTATTGGTTGTTGGTGTTTCAAAGGCCATTGTAGAGTAGAAGAGTTGGGAAAAACTAGACAAGTCATTTTTTGAAAAGCTGAAATGCCACAGATGGTTCCATGCAAGATAAACAGAGAAAATTGTCACATGTTTGTACCTATAGCTAGGCTCCCTCAAATGAACTGGGTTCACACGAGAATAATTGTTGTCCATGTCTGCTTGATTATGCTTTATGTACTTTGTTTTGCTCCCCTTCGTGCTGGTGTCGCTTTATTTATAATTGGTTGTTGTGAACGCATCTAAACTTTTAGAAGACGTTAAACTAGTTTGGAGTGTGTAAAAAAACAAAGACGTGTGTTCGTTTACGTGATTTCTGCAGGATTTCAGGGCTTTGTTGCTGTTGGGCAACAACTGTAAATGGAGCTGGACAGGGCTTGGATGGCCCACTAAGATTGGAATATCAGGAATGAACTTGAGTTCCTACCACGTACCATGCATTGGTCCAATGTCTTTTTAAAGCCAATTGTAATCAAGAACGTCGAAATAGTTTAGAAAGGTGCTTGGCAAATATCTTGTTACTTGATAGAATTTTAATTCGCTGCCGGAAACAAGTTACGTAAGCATGATATAAGGAGAAATGAGCAAAAGACACTATTGTTGATCACTGAAATGAAAACACTTTCAAGTGACACGAACTCCCATGGTAAGAACGAGGAACTTGAAACGAGTAATTCAAACAATTGAGTCAAGTAATGATACAATCAATTGTGCTCTGTGAAGAAAATATAATTTTGGACGAAAAAGCAGACACGTGATTGTGTAGTGAAGAAATGATAATTGAAAAACAATGCCATCTTAGGTAAAATTGCGGTGAGAAAGAATTAAGTTCAATTGTAACGTACGAATCCATTCGGGAATAGACTGAATTATCAGATCCTGCAAATGGCGCATCATGTTTCAAAATATGTGAAACCCTAATTTGCTTTGTGAAATTGGCTCATCAAAAATGTGTTCATGTGATTTAGAACTCTGGTTAATCCCAGAAGATTGAATATCAAGTTCAAGTTACTTCTCTATTGTTTAGTGTATCTATATATATATATATATATATATGTACACGTACATGTGTACCTCTTCTAATTTACCTTGGTAGATGGAAATCTTATAAATTACATGAGGAATATTAATTTAAGGACAAAAGTTCATGACCTAGTAAAGTCCTCTGTTCTAGTAAATATTTTTAGGTGAGCAACAAATACATTAGGTAAGGGGTGTCATATAATGCAGGTACATCTGTATACATTTACTATTAAACCTAATAATTTTAGCTTTTTGAAGAAAGAAGAACTTTTGTATACATTTCACCTCTAAGAGTTCAATTCCAATTCTTGTTGCACTTAAAATCTCTTTGATTTGGTAATGTGATTATGTTAGGATTTCTATAACGTCACTTTCATGACTTTAAAATGGATAAGAAATATCTTTACACCTCAAAAATAGGTAACAATATAAAATGATATATAGATGTACCCAAATTATTTAATATCCGTCAAGTAATATTTCTTGCCTACTTGATAATATTTATTTAAATGGAGGTCCTTCCTAGATTGCAAACTTATATCCCTTAATTAATTTTCTTTATATAATTTATAAAATTTACATCCACTGCAGATATAAATTAGAGGAGGTTCATTTGAATATTTAAGAGTTGTAGAAATAAAAATAAAAAATTCTAAACGAGCACAAAAAAATATTATTGATTTTCATCTAAAGCTAAATACATCATATTGTTCCCAACATTATGCTCTAATTACATTCAACCATATTTAGAAAATATTTGTGCTTGGAAACCATGATTCTTGGTTTTAAAATAAGTTTCTTACATTGTTACTTAAACCCTTAAAAGATGAATCAAACATTCAAAGTTCATTTTTGATTTTTTATACATGCTCTTCACTCACTCATTATCTTAATCTTTACGTTGTTATTACATATTCCATTCCATAGTTTACTAATCTTTTCCTTCTCATGCCGAGATTACCACAAATAATTCACTTCTATTAACACAATCCAAACATATTTGTAGCACTTAAAACTTGGTGATAATCTTATTTAGGATTTATTTTACAAACAAAATTAAAAGAGCTATGGCACATGAGTAATACCTTTCTATACTACATTGCTTTGAAATCATTACATAATACTTTGAGGTGTTCTTAATGCAACCACAATTTTTGCTATTGCTGCAAAATATATTTTAATGAAACTTTTTATTTATTTATTTTACTAAAAATATAAATATTAGAAATATTAACAATTGTTCTTGATTGGGATTAAAAAGGCTATACAGTATGTTGAGTAGAAGGTAGGTTGTAGTGGCATTACTAAAAATTGTGGTTGTGTTACAAAAACCTTATTTTTTAAACAGTTTAAAAAAATTACAAACCATTTTTATTAAATATTTTAATTTAAAGAAAAATCTATTGTGCCTTGATTAATAGATGTTTTTTTCTATAATATATATATATATATATATATATATATATAGTACTAAGCAGCATCTAAGTGATTGACATTACTAGCCACTAAATTTTAAATATAACATATTACATTCTTAATATAGACAATAAATATATTCATCAAAATCAAAATTAAAATCTTACAATTTTTAAACTAGAAAATGATTACATTAAAAATAATCTAAAGTCAAATTATTATACAAATGTGTGCATTAGTCATGTATTTTATTTTTTCTAATTTGTTCTATTGAAATAATAATGTTATTACTATATGTTAAAAGATTGAATTTTTAAATTGAATATATATATATATATATATATATATATAATTTATTTAAAAAAAGCATAATATTCAACAACAAAATAATATAAAATAATAGATTCAAGTAATTTAGTGAAATCAAATTACATCAATATTACTTTTGTATTTTTGTAAGTTTTCTTCGAGGGTCATTTTTTCGACCTCTTTTCTATATGAATTTTTCTTCTCTGTGATGCTGAGGGAAAAACACCCTAATTTATAAGATGTAAAAAGCATGCTTCTACAAAAAAATATTATAGTTCAGTTTTTCTTAATTAAACTATACATTTATAGATACAACTTGGATATATTTTCAAATTTATTTTTCTATATATTTATTTTTATAAATACATATTAATCTATTTGAATATATATATATATATATATAGAGATAATTCAAATTAAAATTTAAAAATTAACTATTATAATTTTTTTATTTTTCTTGTAAGGAAATTAAAATCAATAATTTTTCAATAAAAATAGATAGCATTGCACAATACCAAATTTTGGACTAACAAGTATATTTCTTTAAAAAAGTCAAATAATAGCACAAAGCTTATACAGACTTTGTAAAAATGTGCTTCTGATTGGAACAATTTGTGGTCTTTTGGGTTAAAAGATATAAATATAAATTTAAATATCTTAAACAAATCATTTAATTTTGTGAATGTGCTTTTTAATTAGTTTGATATTATGTTTTAAATCAAAAATTTAATATTTTACTTGTTTAGATTGAAGATAAACCGTATGATTTTAAAAGTAATTTAAAACTTCTAACAACTTTTAAAAAATCGTAAATTTAATCTCTATTAATTAAATGAAAATCAAATGTATTGTTCTAATATTGTTATTTAAATTTTTATTATTTTTGTATTCCAAATAATAATCTTTTATTTTTTTGAAAGATTTTTCTATAATACGATTTTATAGTTGAAATTTAAAATGATATTTTTATATTTTAATTTTTTTAAAATTAATATAAAAATAAGTATTAAATTGTTTCTAAAATTTAAATTTGATTGATTATATATATATATATATATATATATATATAAAAACTAAGACTTAACATTGATAAAAAATAATTATCTTGTAATTTTATTTTGAGTAATAAATGGAAGAAATTAAGTAAAATAATAAATAAAATTCATCTCTTAATAGTTTTTTAATTTTATGTAGATAATGTTTTTGTATATATATATATTTTAAATGTACCATTTTGATATGGTTTTTATAAGTTAATATAATTTTTGATGAATGAATTATAATTAATATGCAAGCAATGTGAAATTTTATAATTTTTTTAAAGAATCCTAAAAAAATTAAAAATTAAAATTAAATTCCTAATAATAACCGTCAAAAGTTTTTTTGTTAAATAAATACATATATGTATTTAAAATTTTTAAAATTTGTAACTCAAATATGCTTTAATTAAATTAGTTCATAGTACTTCGTATTCAAATCAATTTTTCTGTAACAAAAACTGTGATTTTGATTGCCAAAATTATCATTTATATTTAAGAAACTTTTAGTAACAAAGATCCATTATCTAACAAAAATGTATAGTCAAAGAAATAATGCACTGAATCAATAATAGATTTCTATTTACAAAAAAAGTGTTCTCTAAGGAAAATGTAATTAACATTTAAGTTGATAAATATTATTTATTAGTTGAAATACATGATTTTATTGGAAGTAGAAGCATTTGGTATTAATAGGTGTAGGGATAATAATATCTTGGGCTCTAAAATTAGTTAGTTAAGTGACGTAAATAAAAAAATAATAATGCATCCTAAAGTACTTGGATAATGCATTGACAATATTAAAGGCTTATTTAGAAGGTTCATTGTAACTTTAGTTTTTGTAGTTATTTCAACAAACTGTGATGCTTGTTACCAATTTTCAGGAAGAACAAGATAATAGTTATTGATAAATTGAATATACATGATAATTATTAATATATTTTAGCAAAATTCAATTTAAATTAAATCAAATAAAATTCTATTATATACTAATAATGTTATTTTAATAATCACATCTTTAAAATTAATATGATATTGTTTTTAAATATGTATTTTTAGATCTAGATTGAAATAGCTATAAATTTTATTAATATTTTAAAAACCTAATTTTTTTTTCTATTTCTCTCTAATAAATATAAGCACATTCTAATCATATGTGTGAAGAGACTATGAATAAGGAAAATGAATAGATTTACCAAAATATGTGTTTATATATATATATATATATATATATATATATTTACTTATTTAAACAGAAAGAAAAATATTTTTCAAATAGGATAATAGAAATTTTACTAGACTAGAGCTTGATCTTTTAAGATGCAAATAGAAACTACAAAAGACTTACCTTGGTTAGAAG